AGCAAACCACACCAGAGCACCCGCCAACCACCCAAATACTGTGTTCTTCATCTTGGGAAAAAGATGAAAGTCACATCAAGTGAATACCGTGGATGTTCCAGCGTTTCTCATATTGTGTAATAGTCCAAACTGAAATGGTACACACGTCACAAGGACCTCCAGACAGACCAAGACAAGGGGGCTCTCGTGGCTTAGAGATTAAGGCATTCGCCTCTCATTCCAAGGTCCCAGGTTCGAATCCGTGTAGCGACCGAAACATTTTCTTCTCTAAAATTGTCTTCTTTCACCCCCTTTCCTGCTCTCAAGCAATGTGTTCTGTCATCTGCTTTCGTCTCCTCTTTCTGCCCCCACCCCCTCACCTCATTTGCCCCCTCCTCTGGGCTCCTGACTCTTTATGCAGCCTTTCTACTGCTCGTTCTTACTAAAAGATCTACACCTAGCCTTCTCGGACAAGGGAGAAAAATCTCGGAGGGCCCGTGTGCAAGTTGCGCACGTTAAAGATCCCTTGGTAGTCTAAAATCGATAGCAGTAGGCTTCGCCCGCCACCCGGGCAAAATTCAAAATTTCCTACCAACTGAAAATGTTTGGTGTGTCCCGCGCTCTCATGTGACAGTATGCAGTTGCGAGCGCCGTAAAACACTTACCAAAAAAAAGACCAAGACATTCTTGTAAGGTATAGTGTAGGGAGCAAGCCGGAGAGGCAGACATAGAAAGAGACGGGAAGGCATCAATAGAGCATAGATTTACAATAGAACATGGACTTGTCTTCAGCTGAGAACTTCACTACGTAAAACTGAAAGTAGTGAGGAGTGGAGAAGCTGGTAGCAAAATCTTCTAGATAGGATTCTGCTACAGTAAGTCAAACAAAGAAATCTGTGAAATGAAAGATTAATCTCCCGCTAAAATATGTCCATTTTTTAAACGACATTCCATCCGTGACTTCGGCTGACCCACTTTTTATTTTAAGAAAAAGAACCGCCCCGATTATCTGTAATTTATATTGTCATGCGGTCCTCAATATGTTTCGTTTTCCGCTGTCATTTCCGCGTTCTAAAGCGGAAGGCCACGGACAAAGCGACTAGAACCATATTATCAAGGTGAATGCTTCCTGGCACATAGTCTGTCGTGACTCTTGCTATCTCAAAATATTTATTTATCTTTCAATCGCGTTCTTTCTACTCGCCCCCCCCCCCTTTCAAACCCTGTGCTCTCTCTCTCTCTCTCTCTCTCTCTCTCTCTCTCTCTCTCTCTCTCTCTCTCTCTCTCTCTCTCTCTCTCTCTTCATCTCTCCTCTCTGTTTCTGTCTATGTCTCTGTCTCTGTCTCTGTCTCTCTTCTTATGCGTGTGTATGTGCGTGTACGTGTATGCGTGTGCGAGTGTATATGGGTGTGTGCGTGTTACTGTTACAGATAGAGTTCAAGACAATTATAGATGTATGTCAAGTTTTGAGGGCAATAATGATTTTAGACATGATGATGGTGATAAGTGATTATATGAAATAGTGTTTATGTAAATAATTATTGAGAAGATATGCTTCTGTTAGCTGAGTTGTTGTTTTTTATGTTAGCGTTAGTCTTATCTTCTTCCTTTGCTCTGTTCCCTATGGTTAGTGATTCCAATTTCAATTATATCCGATTTCATTTTGGTTTACTTGATATGTCTTTCCTCTCCGTTTGATGTTCTAGTTGAAGCAGCTACTTCTAAAAGATCTGGTGTTTGTCTAGCAAAAGCTATCCTTCTTCAAGAGAGGAACTTGGGTTTATAGGTGTCTGAGAAAGAAGGGATGAGAGAAAGAGAGAGAGGGGGGGGGAGAAAGAGAGAGAGAAAAAGAGAGAGAGAGAGAGAGAGAGAGAGAGAGAGAGAGAGAGAGAGAGGCGAGGGGAGAGAGTTAAATAGCACTTGTACGAGACAGGAAATAAATATTTCTCATACATATACGAACTTTGTAAAACAACTGTATGTGTTTATGTCGCAAGTGTAAAAGTACGTCTGAAGATGCTAGACATTTCTATTGATTACAGAAATGTTCTTTATCTCACTTCATTTTACTCTGATTTTACTTTGAAATTTCAAAATATAAGCCAATGAATTCTGGTAATACCATGGGACACGTGAAGAGATTGCAAGCGGTCTGCTGAAATCAGCCTTTCATGGAGTAACAACTTGTGGATAAGAGCGTACTATATAATATTATAATTGTAAGTGCTTTACGTCTCCTTGGAAACTGTTTAAACATTTAACCCTATCCGTACGTCGTGTTTTCCTATTGTATCCATACGACGTGGGGAACCCTATGCCACCACGTAACCCTATCAGTACGTCGTGTTTTCCTATTGTATCCATACGACGGGAGGAACTCTGTGCCACCACTTTCCTAAGAGGAAATTTACTTGTTAATCCGATCCGTACGCTTTGCATAGCAGTCAGTCAAAATGATTTTTTGAGAAATACTGACAGTTTCAAAGAGATCTTCGCACTAGATGTATTCTAAAATGTGAAGAATACAACCCCTGGGGGTACACAATGACTCCAGGGCGCACGGATAGGGTTAAAAGGCGGGTTGCTTTGACCTTGCCCGTCAAGGACACCCGAGGCTGAGAGGGATGGAACGTCCGGGCAGACAGATGGAGATGCTGGATTTCAAAAATGTTCCCCATAAGGGATTCAAACGTAATGTATTACGCGTGTGATGACGAGGCGCTTCACACTTTAAACCGTGAGTTTTTGCAACGTCTCCAGGAGTTCTTTTCTTCCGTCACCTAAATCTGGTGCACTAATAAGCCATATTATAACCTCAGAAGCTTGCCTCCAACCTCTAAATGGTGAAACAAAGGCTTAGTCATTACTTTTAAAACTTGGATGATGAATAGTTCCGAAAAACTAGAAAAAACAAGTACTAAACGAAACAAAACAGTTGTCGCTAGTATCCAAGCGTCCGATGGGCAACAGGGTTTTTAACCGCTGGACGCTCCCAGTGTCTGATGGGGTTGAAAGAGTTAATTGTTACACCAAAGGCGCCGGTTGTATCAGCACCCCTAGTCATGACAGTCGCATAAGGTTACTCGAAACTAGATTGTATAAATTGTAATGTCTACTATAGTTTTTTTATTAACCCTATCCGTACGCCCTAGGATCATTTTGTACCCCAAGTGTTGTATTCTTCACATTTTAGAATACTTTGAGTGAGAAGATCTCTTTAAAACTTTCAGTATAATTTTTCAAAAAATCATTTTGACAGACTACTATGCAAACCGTACGGATCGGATTAACGGGTAAATTTCCTCTTTGGAAATTGGTGTGGTGGCACAGAGTTCCCCGCGTCGTATGGATACGATAGTAAAACACGACTTACGGATAGTAGAAGCACCGTTAGTTCAATTGATGCCATGCTCGACTACGGAGTGGAGAGTCGTGGTTCGAATCTCCAACGAGATGTTCTGAATACTGGGTTCTTTTGGGGGAACTTTTATCAGGTTTTCCTTCTATTTATCTTGGTCCTATCGATGAATTCGAATTCTCGCTTAATAACCTTAAAGTATTGAAAAGGACTTTACGTCTTTGCAATGATTAATGATTTATAAACACAGTGTCTCCAAGCTCAATCTATAACTTTAGAACAGCTTTAAAAATTTAGGGTTTATTTGATTCGTATTTTTCTTTTCATGCACAATTTGGGGAGTTTTTAAAGTATTTTTCTTGGGGTTTTTTTTTTCTTTTGGATCTTGTAGAGGGACAAATATTAGGACGATTTGATACATCAGCATGCCTGGGGTTAAAAGAATGTTTTAGTAGAAATTCTATGGCACTCACAATAAAATAAGGTCTTATAAGTGCCGGAGATGTAAGGGGTTACAAGAGAGTAGTAAAAAATATAAAGTTGTTCCCCCTTTGGGGATTTCCTTGTTAGTGAGACAACTTCCTGGGCCTACGGCATATTGTGGTAGGGTGGCCAGTTGCTTTCCACGCCGCCTTTACTTCCTTAACTCGAAGCCAGGTACCCATCACTGCTGTGTGGGCAGGAGGGGGAGAAAAAAATCCGTGTCCGAACCGAGGCTCGAACCCGTACTTTCCGCTTCGAAGACTAGAGCACTTACCACTCCGCCACAGCACCTTTTAAAGAGAGTAACAAATACAAAAAGAAAGGGAGAAGAGACAAGGATGATATAGATAGATAGATAGATATATATATATATATATATATATATATGACAGTGCCGGAGGAGCAAACCACACCAGGAACACCCGCCAATCACCCACTATTCGTTTGATTTACCTTGATGCGATTTATTTCATATATAGAGATAGTATAATATGACATCATCAAGATGTTTATTCTATCTAGTTTCCATCCAAAACTAAAAATCTAATCATTTTCGCCCAGCGATAGCTGCTTGACAAACACTCTCCCCATCCGCAAATCTGAAAAAAAAAAAGATGGGAGTTAGTAAAAGTGCAGAATTTGAACGAAGCTAATAACTTCTTGCCTCTTGTTGTTCAGTGGTGGTTAGCAACTGTACCTTGAAAATTGCCAAGATTTTTGTTGAGATAATAGTCTTATTTGTCTTGTTATCATTAAAGCAAGGCCACCGCAGTATTGATTCAACTGACCTGCGTCTGTGGTGTAACGCTTTTACGGGGTGCCCACTACGGATGGAATTGGGCGATCGACTCGGTCGCCTCAAAAACAAACGTGTTTGTTTTCAGTTTCAGGCTGTTTTTTATCTCAGTTTTTTACTATCGTATCCTTACGATGTGGGGAACTGTAAGCCCACACTTTCCAAAGAGGAAATTTACTCGTTAATCCGATCTGTACGCTTTTCATAGCAGTCTGTCAAAAGGATTTTTTGAAAAATACTGAAAGTTTCAAATAGATCTTCGTACTAGAAGTACATATGTATTCTAAAATGTGAAGAATACAAACCCGGGGGGGGGTAAAAAATGACCCCAGGGCGTACTGATAGGGTTAAGAGGGTGGATCAGTATATGTCAAACAGAGATTTTCCAACTCAATTCCCTTTCTTGTACCTCAGCAGAACACAGATTCCTCACTGGCGCCGTCTAGGAGGGCAGTTCCTTCACACATATTCCAAGCATCGTCCGAACTTTTCCTTGTTCTGACGTCATGCGAGACAACGAGAAAAGTGAGTAAGTCTCAACTGCAGGCTGTCTCTGCATAGCCCTCGTCAAATTGACAGTTGAGTAGGCGCAGGTGCCGCGACGGTCAACACCACAATGACGTCACTAGTCACTGGGACTCCCTACAATCTGACCAGTGTTGAGACGTCAACTCTCTCGCCGGGGAACTGGACAGTTGATGACAGAGCAGGCGGTAAAACTGTTGGTCAGGTCAGTGTTGATTCCCTTCTTGTCTTTTTGTTTAATGAACGTGTTTAGGCCTCCATCTACACAATTAGATTATTAACCTCTCCGTACGCCCAAGGGTCATTTTGTACTCATGGGGTAAATTCTGCACATTTTAGAATGCTTCTAGTTCGAAGATCTCTCTGAAACTTTCAGTATTTCTCAAAAAAATCATTTTGACAGACTGCTATGCAAAGCGTACGGATCGGATTAACGAGTAATTTCCTCTTTGGAAACTGGTGGCACAGAGTTCCCCACATTATATGGATACGACAGTAAAGCACAACGTACGCATAGGGTTAATTAGGAACCGGACTTTGACCTTCCCTGTCAAGGCCAACCCAGGCTAAGAGGGATAAATAATGTCCCTCCAGAAAGATTGAGATATTAAATGAAAATCATCACAACAAGGGAATCGAACTTGGAGCTTCTGTGCCCGACGAAGGGGTTCCTAAACGCTACACCACAGGCGCTAGTAATAATGTCTTTCCTAGAGAGATTGATAGATAGATAGATAGACAGATAGATAGATAGATAGATAGATAGATAGATAGATAGATAGATAGATAGATAGATTTTATTTTTGTGTATGGGGGGGTGGTTACCCTAGTCCTTCAATAAGACAATTGAAAGAGACGTTTGAGACGTTATATAAAAGTATGAGTAGTCATCATACAGACGGCAAAAGAAGTGAACAGCTCGCAAGCTCACCAGTGAAACGTGCCACAGTTGTTCTAACGTCGCCACACACAGAAAAAGCCAATTAAATCTTAACAGATGAAATCCTGCAGCTGTTCACCAAGGCCAAAGAGACCGTTTAATGAGATGGAAGGAAAATGTGAGGAGTGGCTTCTGGGGGGGGGGGGGGAGTTGGGGGTGCGTCGGGTAAAACCGAGCGACTTTGTGACGTCATCGATCGTCACCGGCGAAAAGTGACTTGTGGGTGACAGCGGAATGGCGACTAGTATAATTGTACCACATTTGGTCGCTTTAAAGCACCAGAGGGCTATCCCAAAAAATGATAGTATGAGAAAATCGAAGGTAAAGTTTTTGCCCCTGGTTCAGTTTCATTAAAAGACAAGGAGAGTTTTCTCTATAACCAAACAAATATACACACCGTTGAAACCAAACTTCTCCTATAGGAAGGGCAATGCCCACTTTTTTTGTAGGTCAAGATTTATGGAAACCCCCGAAATCTGGGCTAGCCCGCTTGTCCTTAAAAGCGACCATTTCTTTGTTACGGGTGAACTTGGTGTCATCTCTTACAGTAGTTACAGTACGGAATACAGCTAGAGGAGGTATGTTACATCAAAGACTGTACATAACAAGATAGTTCACTCCTATCTTTGAGCCAATTAAAAAAGCGTCCTCAAAATCCGGTTAAGAGTTACCCTACTTGTGTAGAAAACAAAAAACAAAAAACAAAACAAACAAAAATGATAAAAGTGAGATTAACAAACTGTACTATTAAAAGACTGCAGCGCCATCTGAACCAATGCGCGGACTTCTGCGAACACTTTGTTGACTGAGTGAATAATATTGTTATGTAGCATCTTTGGGTACATTTCGTCTCGGTTTCCGATTACAAGATCTCTGTTGAATTCCCCTGAATTTGACGAGGAGGTAGAGGGGCATTTTGAGGCTAATTTAAAACATAATATTTCTGCACAAATGTCCATATATATATATATATATATATCTATATATATATATATATATATATATATATATATATATATATATATATATATATATATATATGTATATTTTAAAACAAATTAAAATTAAGACCAAAAAAAATATCTCCTCTACTCTCCACGATCATCTCGTTGGATACGGGTACGAAAATAAGATAGCCACAGGCTGTCTATTTCATGTGGCGCTGTTCAGGAGCCAAAAGCCAGTGGTCGTAACACTAGCAATGGTATTAGTGGAAGAAAGATAAGGGTACACCCTAAAATAAATTGCAACAAAAATTAAAGTTATATGTTAGTCCAGCCACCCACTCAGTGACTGTCTTTTTATTCATCATTCGTATGTAATGTATACTCAGCACAAAACATGAAAAAATATTGAATATCGATACCATGATCAATATCATCGAGACGAAGTATTCGCTTAGCACAGTCAAAGATCGTGTATAAATAAGATAGTTCACTCCTCTCTTTAAACCAATTTAAAAGTGTCCTCAAAATTTGGTGGCGCCCTCTTCGAAAAAATGCAGACTTTGCGAACAGAATTACCCTACTTGTGTGAAAAACAATAAAAGTGAAACTGACAAACTGTACTATTCCATTTCTTCTTCTAGAGAAACGATTGCGCGCTTCAAAACAAACACTGCAGCGCCATCTGAAGCCTTTTTGACTGAGTGAACAATTGTGTTATGTATGATCTTTGGTACAGTCAGTCGCTGTTCTTCGTTTGGATTCCCTTTGTGTTTTTAGCAAAGGCAAACATGTTTCAATCGATCTTTCCTGGTCCTGCGGGGGAAGGGATGGTTAAGGGCAGAGAACAAGCAAGACATAACTCTTATAAAACCCTGAAAAGTGTTCTACTGTAAGTTATATAATGGGAAACCATCAAGATGTTGACGCATTCAGGACAGAAGCAATAAGTAACTAACGCTCGGACGTACCGAGAGAGAGGGGGGAGAGACAGAGGGAGAGAGAGAGAGAGGGGGTGGGGG